GCCGCCAGAGACGATCGTGTGACGATCCATTGACGCACGCGGCGTGCACACCGGCGTGGTCGATAAAGAAAATGCCTTTGGCAAAATCAAGATACTCTCGCCACAACAGTCTTGCCGTGGTCACTGCGTACAATTCAACAAGCCCTATCAAGTGTTTCTTCCCAGAAGCACTCCAAGTCTTAACAAGCGAGTCGGGCAGTCGGCAGCCAAAGTGTCGAGTGGCCCACTTGCCGGAGCTCTCAACATACAGCACCCCACCGATGGAGCACAGCATGCTATCACCCTCCGGCTCGCAAGCTCCGTCTGTAAACACAATAACATTCGCACCAGGTGGGCGAGCGGAGATCGCCCGGGGCGGCCCATGAAGCAAACGCTCACGAAGATTCTGGAAGGCATGACGTTCTGAGTCCCCGAGCTTGAGGATTCCCCCGGAAGCTCAGACAAAGCCAGTCGCCCCAGGCGTCCCATGAGTTGCCCTTCAAGAAACTGAATCCTCCCGAAGAGAGAAGCGATTTCCGCAGACCGGATGGCGCCCCTATCAAGAACCTCATCGACAGAGGCCGCCACCTCGCAGCACTTTAACGAATTGTTCCTCGAACGATGGGTGTAAAGTAAGGCACAACGGGCATTTGGCTCAAGACAAAAAGGAACATCCGTGCTATGCTATGCTATGCTCTCGAGCGCCTGGTGACTGAAGCCTCAAACACGTGGTTATCAGCCGTAGGCTCCGGGTCTTGACTGCATTGAGAGGTTCTCGTGATCTTGCGAGTGCATGTCAGATAGAGCGGCTAAGCTTGACTCCACGGGAGAGCCTTTTCGCGTTCGGCAGCGTGGGGGAAAGTACGTAAGAAAACAGAAAGAACTCCACCAGAGAGTCGAAGCAGGCGAATACGAGCCAAGACACCGCTGGTCTGAAGGCAGCGCGAGGCGAAAACTAGGCCTAAGCTCGTAGGGGGTGGTGTTGTTGAGGGTTTTTCGGCGGGGTCGACTTCGGAAGGGCCGGTTTGTTCTTCGGAGGTAAGGGTTTTGACCCCTCGACGCCCCGAAGGTAACAACCCCCCGTGGGAGCATAGGTTTTTGGAGTGTTCCGGAACCCAGGGTTCGAACTCCCGGGGGGCCCGGGGGGGGGGGGGGGGGACATATAACTCCGGAACTCAGGGTTGAACCCTGGGTTCGAACTTCTCGAACCCAGGTTGAACCTGGAGTTTGAACTCTATGTTCAAACCCTGGGTTCGGGAACTCTATGTTCGAACCCGGGGTTCGGGAACTCTATGTTCGAACCCTGGGTTCGGGAACTCTATGTTCGAACCCGGGGTTTGGAGAACTCCACGTTCGAACCCCGGGTTCGGGAACTCCTCCCCCTTCCCAGAGAGTCCGAACCCTGGGTTCGGAACTCCATGCCCGAACCTGGGGTTTGGGGAACTCTATACCGGAACCCCGGGTTCCGGAACCCCCCCCGTCCCCCAGAGAGTTCGAACCCTGGGTTCGGGAACTCTATGTTGGAACCCGGTGTTTGGGGAACTCTGTGTTGGAACCTCGGGTTCTGGAATTCGTCCCCCCCCTGGCGAGTTCGGGAACTCCACGTTTGGGGGGGGGCTGCGCCCCCCCCCAACCCCCCCGCTGTTTTTAGAAGCTTGCCGAAAACAAAGAAAAAGACTACCAATGACCAGTCCCTGCCACAAAAGAAGAAGAAGCCACACGAAACCACTTTATCGGGGGTTTTGGCGAAGAAATAAAAGAAAGACAAAACAAAGAAAAAGATTGTCAATGACGAGGAGTCTTTCTTCTCAAGGGGGCTTCAGAAGGACATGAAGTCTCCTACGAGAATGCTAAAGGCGCGAACAAATGAACCGCCCAACCCCAGGTTCTAGACTCCCCCCCAGAGTTCGAACGGGGTTCGAACAGAACACCAACAATCACCAAACAAAAGGAAAAGAAGCCACATAGAATCGCTTTGTGGGGGGTTTTGCGAATAAAATTACTGAGAGCACACTACAATGAGAAACCACAAACTCAACCCTTAAGCACAAGCAAAAGAGAAGAAGACACACGAAATCGCTAATCGGGTTTTTGCAAAAAAAAATAAAATGAGAGAACAAGAAGCAATGAGACAAGAGTTCGAACTCTGGGTTCGGAAACTCCATGTTCGAACTCTAAGTTCGGAAACTCAATGTTCGAAACCTGGGGACTCAACTCTTGAGGACCGCCAGAGTTCGAACTCTGGGTTCGGAAACTCTATGTTCAAACCCTGGGTTCAAACTCTTTCGCCTTTCAGAGTTCAACTCCAGGTTCAACTCCAGTTCAAGAAGTTCGGAGTTGAGTTCAACTTGGAGTTCAACTCAAAGTTCGAACCCAGGGTTCGGAGGGAACTTCGATGTTCGAACCCTGGTTCGAGGCTCCGAACTCTTAGTTCGGAGTTCCAGAACCCTGGGTTCGGAACTCTAAGTTCCAAACCTTGGGTTCGAACACCCCCCCAAAAACCTATGTTGCCCCCGTGGCACGATCCAGCTGAGGTGACTGGGCCGCAGCTGGCATCGCCACTTCCCTCGGCGGCAAGTTCGGGGTCAAGGGTTCCTTCTGAGCGTTCTGGGTTGGCTTCGGTGCTCGGTGGTGGTTTTGGCTCAAGTTCTGGTTCAAGGGCGAAGCGAAAGTTCGATCTTGCTGTTGAGACGAGTTTCAGGGTAGTCAGTGACTTCCACGGAGTGCTAGATCACGAAGACCGTTTCACCAGAACCTCACGGGATATCATTAGGAGCTTCCTTCAGCAATCTCGGTTTCATCAGTTCTTGATCCTCAGCCACATTGGCGTTAGCGGGCCGAAGAGTCAACGCAGAGAGACAGTTTGCGAAGCCAAGCTGCAGAATTTCAGAGGTCGTTGCCCCCTGAGCTTGCATCGCGGTTTGGTGTGGCAATCGTGTCTTCTAAAAGGGCCAAAGCAGAGCTCAACCAACAGTTGCAGGGGTCTCCGAGAGTGTGTTTGATACGTTTTGCAGCACATCATCACAGAGCATGGACACAGGCGGTGGTAAGAAACACTCCAGTGAATCCATCGGCCTGTGGTCTAGCTCCTTGAAGCGACTAGCCAACATCCGTCGTCTGTAGAAGTGAAGACGCTAGAGAACCACCTGACGACTTGAGGCTGGCCTCAGGTAAGGTGGGTTGGCAGGACCTCCGTGACGGAAGAGTCTTGGTGCAGAGACGTGTTCCACCTTCGCGAAGCCGGACGTGGAAGCGCTAGACTTGCGCACGTGTTGGCTAGTCAACACCACCGAGTGGTTTCCGCTTGGCAAGAACTGGAAAACGCCGAAGCTGAACTTCCCACGTTGCTCACAGCCTGATTACTTTCTTCGAATCTTCGGCTTCGTCTGCGCGTCGCGCGAGGGCCGTAGAGGAGAGAAAGGATGAAGGTGATGATGACGATGAATGGGTGAATGAGCTTGAACCAGGCCACTTTCTCACGCATCTGCCCAAATCCCGAAAGTGCAATGTGTGTTTGCAAGCAAAGCTAACCGTAACACCGCACAGGAGACGCGACAACCAGTCGTCTAATCTCCAGGAAGCGCGCGACCAGGAAGAGCCTGAGGGCCCTGGGGAGCGCATCGAAGTGGATCACATCATCGCACGCGACGCTCCTACGGATGAGGACGAAGTGGTGTCTTTGCCAGAAACAGGGCTATCACCAGGCTGAGAATTGCAGTGCACGGCAAGACTCCCAAGTGTGAAGGCTGCAAAACTGGAAGCTACAACCACAACAAGGCATGTAGGACACGGTTTGATGATTTGCTTGACTTTCATGAGCCGCTCCCTGCCAAAGACAAGGAGGATGAAGAGCTCGAAGACGCTTTTGTCCCTCCAGAAGAGTTTGAGGTTCCTGCTTTTACTCCGCCTTCGACGGCAGGAGAAGAGGTAGAACCGTCTCAGGCTTAGCAGCTTGTGTTGAGTTGCTTGCAGACCCAAAGGCTCACCAAACTGGAGTGCCCGCCGGCCAAGTGAGCCGGCTCGATTGTGGTTGAGAGACTCAACGGTTGTGGCGCGCCGATGAGCCGTGCAAGGGTTGTTGGGTCGCAAGGCCGTTGCTCACACATGTGATGATGGCTTAAGAGCCTGCGCGATCGCGACACTTGCGCTTGAAAGCTTTTCTTGGCCCTTTGTCGTGGAGCTCACATACATTAGGTCTTGGTAAGCTCATTCTTTGCTGTCAATGCTGTGCTGACTGTACATAGTAGTATATTAGGCATATTAGTATAGACTAATATATGTCAGCGAAGCCGACAGTTTGCACGTAAGCTGACGCAAGACGAAGCACAGCAACTGTTTCAGGGCCTCCCTCAAGAGACAACTTTTGCGTTGACTGCCAAGGAAAGAAGGTCCAAGGTGAAACAGTCTACAGGCGTAACTTTTGTCGAGTTTTGCTGCTCGAGTCACAGTCAGTTGAAACGAGTTTGTGAGCAGCACCAGATCTCGTATCTAGGCTTGTCTAAAGATTTCGTCGACCTTGAAAACCAAGAGTAGTTTCTGCAGGTTTGAGACTGGGCGCGGGATCAAGCTGAGAGAGGAGAGGTTCTTCACTTGTGGTCCCTTCCTAGTCAGCCCTGGCACAACCTTCGCTCCAACAAGACTCCAAGCACACAGACACACCAACAGCTTTGCAAAGAGAAAACTCGTTGAGGCTCGTTCAGCACTTCGTGTTGTTGGCCAGTGTTGCTGCGGAGTCAGGGGGCTCTGTGTCGTTTGAGTGGCCGAAAAGCTGTTTAGGTTGGTACCAAACACCGGTGCTTGACATGATTACTCGCTTTGAGTTGCAGTTGTGTCATCCGACCAGTTGCGGTTTCAGGCTCTGCATCGACGGAAAATATCCGCTGAAGGAGTGGCGTGTGGCTACTAGCCACCCGCGCGTCGCTCAGGAAATGAGCAGGCGGATCTGTCGTCATGAGCACGGTCACAAGCATGATCTGTTGCACGGTGACGTTGCGTGGAAGTCCGACTTTTACAACCGGGCAATGGCCAGTGTGATCATCGGCGCTGTCTTTCCTGACACGGTGCATCGTTACGTTCCGTCGATGCCGGTTGTTCCTTGTGACTCGGTGTCGAAAGAGCACGTTGAACGAGACGTTCCTGCTTCTCCTCTGTGGACCAGTGCTAAGGCACTTGTTACTAGAGCCCTGTCCCGAAAGGAAATGTTTGAGAATCCTCGCGCGTTGCGTGCGGTTCAAGCAGAAGGCGACAAAGTCAGGTCCAGGGGGGTATGGGACGACGAGTCAGCTGAAGAACCGGAGACCGTCTGTCGTCGTGCTAAAGCAGCCGGTGAGCGCATACACATTGCGGAAGCAATGACGATCGCTGGTGTGAAGAATGCTGAAATGGAGGAAGACAAACACGTCTACAAGGGCAGAGTGGTCTATCGTGGAGACGCCAAGGATGAACAAGGGTTGCCGGCGTTGTTTCGTGAGTTGCACTCGCTCCCGACAAACATGCAGGCAATAAACTTGACTCTCTTCCTCGGCTTGTGTTCGGGCTTTCTCGTGCAGGCTGCAGATGCTTGCCAAGCTTTTCTGCAGGCTCCACTGCGTTCTCCGGTTCCCACATACGTCGTGTTGCCTTCCGAGTTATGGCTTCCTCAGTGGAGGGGTCGGTTCAAAAGAGTCGCTGTCAAACTCAAACGGGCACTCTACGGCCACCCAGAAGCTCCAGCTGAGTGGCAAGCCTACCTTGAGAATGTCCTGAAGACAGTGTGCTACTTGCTGTCGCAGTCGAAGGGTTTCCGTCCGTTTTCTGGCTTCCGACACTCTGCGTCTTAGTCACGATTTATGTTGATGATATACTCGCAGCCGGCAAGGCCGAGGGCCTGAAGAGCTTCTGGTCGCAGTTGCGTAAGCACATAGATCTTGACGAAGTGACTTCTGTGGAGAGGTTTCTGGGTCGCTACCACTTGTTTTCAGAAGACGGAACAACGGTGTACATGCAGATGTCTGCATACGCACAGCAGGCAATCGATCTGTACCTCTCTCTGCCCGGGGCTGTGCCTTTGAAGTCGGCAACCACGCCTTACGTAGCTGAGGGAAGCCTTCCTCTTGAAGACTTTGAAGTGAGAGGAGCTCTGGCCGATTCCTCTGCAAAAATATTGATGAAGCTACTTTGGCTCTCGCGGTTATGTCGACCAGATTTGGCACATGTCATTTCAATGCTTGCGGTGCAGTCCAACACGTGGAGTCGTAATGCAGACAAGCAGGTGCATCGCTTGCTTTGCTATCTGCAGAGCACAGCTGACTACTCTCTGAGAGGAATCGTGAGGGACCCACTGCACAGCTGCTGGATTGATCTGTATTGCGACGCAGACTTGGGCGGTTGCATCCACACGGCCTTTGGCTTCAAGTGAGCGGCCCCAACGGGACCCAGTTCCCGATAACCTGGGCCAGTCGTCGCCAAGGCGCCGTTAGTCGCTCCACTACTGAGGATAGTGGAGAGGATACAGGCGGAGGGGAGGAATGAGGACGAGGCGTCGACCGGCGCTGGTGGTGTGAGCCGGGCGGTGAGGATAGTGGTGAGGATACAGGTGGGGGGGAGCGAGGAGCAACGCCGTTGCGCTGCGCGACAACAGTAGCCACAAACAGTAGCCACAAACAGTGGCCACAAACAGAAGCCACAAACAGCAGCCACAAACAGTAGCCACAAATAGTAGCCACGAACAGTGGCCACGTACAGTCGCTACAAACAGTGGCTACAAACAGAAGCCACAAACAGAGCCACAAACAGCAGCTGCAAACAGCAGCCACGAACAGAGCCACAAATAGTAGCCACAAATAGGTCTTTGTGTTCTGCCTTGTGTTCTGCCTTTGTGTTCTTTGTGTTCTGTCTTTGTATTCTGCCTTTGTGTTCTGCCTTTGTGTTCTGTCTTTGTGTTCTGCCTTTGTGTTCTGCCTTTGTGTTCTGCCTTTGTGTTCTGCCTTTGTGTCTGTCTTTGTGTTCTGCTTTTGTGTTCTGCCTTTGTGTTCTGCCTTTTGTATTCTGCCTTTGTGTCTGTCTTTGTGTTCTGCCTTTGTGTCTGCCTTTGTGTTTTGCCTTTGTGTTCTGCCTTTGTTCTGCCTCTCTCTTATGAAGCGGAATGTTGGGCCCACAGTCGATCGTCTTCAAGGGAGCTGATTCAAAAACGAAAGGGTGTTGAGCCTACAGCCTCGGGCCAAAAACGAAAGATCGACAGGGCTCAGAGGCAACGATCTTCGAATTAGGACAAGCCAATTGGAGCTCGACGATTGTGGACCCGAGCGGAGCGAACGAGCTCACGGAGCGAGGAAAGGTGCACCACCCCTGCCTGGAATCGAGGCATTTTTCAGTTCGTGTTATTCTGAACGACGACGCGGCGACGGCGAGGCGGCGACGCATCACAGGTGCATCACCCTCCAGGTGCACCCCCGGATCTGCCGGGGATCAAGGCATTTTCAGTTCGTGTAATTCTAAACGACGACGCAGCAACGACAAGGCGGCGACTAGCCGTGATGCACCGCCACAGGTGCACCACAGGTGCATCATAGGTGCACCACGGGGTGCTGCCTGGGATCGAAGCATTTTCAGTTCGTGTTGTTCTGAACGACGACGCGGCGACGCGAGGCGGCGACGGCGCATCACAGGTGCATCACCCCCAATTCAGACGCCACCCGACCGCCGCACAGAGAGTGCAATTTGCAAAAACGAGGAAATTATTGCGTTTAAGCTTTCCAAAACAATTTTGTGAACATGTATTTCTTCGCTTTTAAGCCTCTCAGGCGATTTCGTGTGGAATGTTCTCTGCCTGGAGATGGCTTCAAACGATTTTATGCATTCTTTTGTGTGTCTTCCATTTCATGTTTTCGTTCTTTTTTGCCGGTTAGACCCCCAAAGCAATTTTGAACTCTGTTCTTTTTATTAATTTTTCGCGTATGGGTTTCGAGTTAAAGGTTTTACGGTTTAGGTTTAAGTGGCTTCAAAGGCGGAGTTTAGAATTTACAAAAAGCAGGACGGTTGCCCTTCCCATTGATTTTTTAAGAGCATGTTCTGCTGACTCCCTTAAACAATTTTGATGGAAACCCAGATCAAACTCCGGGAGGAGAGAACCAGCCTCGGGCTGGTTCCAGAGGGGGGTTTGAACCCAGGTTAATCTGGATTCCAAACTATTTTTTTCTTCAAAGGCAGGTTCGGAATCTAGATTGAACCTGGGTTCGAAACCCAGGTTTGAACAACTATTTTGAAGACGGAGTTTTCAAACCGGTTGAATCTGGATTTGGAAACCTGAACCTGTGTTGGAATCTGGTTTCAAACCTGGGTTGGAACGTTGGAATCTGGAAATATGGGTTTGGAGTTGAAGGTTTTCGGTTTAGGTGGCTTCAAAGACGGGAGTTTACAATTTACAAAAAGGCGGGAGGGAGGGAACGCAGCCCTCCCCATTGAGCTTTTAAGAGCGGGTCCCGCTGAACGATTTTATGCGACCGTGGTGTGAATTTTCATGTTTCTGCTTCTCTTTTATTTGTTTTTGACCCGCTTAAGCGATTTCGTGTGGACGTCTCCTTTCGTGTCGAAAAAGATCCTCCGTCAGGTCTCTTCCTCAGGCCGTTTAAGCATTTCTTCCAACCATCCTAGGCCTTGAAGCCCTCCTGGGTTTTCCCTGGGTTTGAACCTGGGTTTTAACCTGGATTAAACCTGGGTGCTTTAAACTTGGGTTCCAAACCTGGGTTAGAACCTGGGTTTCAAACCTGTGTTCCCCCCCCCCGGGGGGAGGGAACCCAGGTTCAAACCCAGGTTCAAACCTGGGTTAAACCCCGGGGGGGGAGGGGACCAGCCTCAGCCCTGGTTGTGTTTCAAATGCTAAAAGCCGAGAATTTCATTGTATTTTTGGACATATGCCAGAACTGTAAGTGGCAATACCTGTCAAGACTAAATCTGAACGAATTTCTTGTCGATTGTTTCTTTTTCTGTTCTTGCTTTCTTGCTCTGGAGCCGATGCGCAGCACCTGGCACTGCGACCACGCCAAAAAAAAACGTTGGCATGCCGCATGCATGCTCGACGTCCACTGCCTGAGGGCAGACTAATGGACAAGCAAAATGAATTGTACAGGTAAAACGGCTGCGTTGCTGCACTGGCATGTTACTGTGACAGAGCAACATCTTGAATGCTGCACGGAAAAAGAAATCTCGCTGTTTCTGCAGTCGAATTTCTCAACAAGGCTTTCTCGTTTCAAAAACTTCATTGACTTTGGATCATAGTCCAAAGCTAGGTTACTGCGTCTACAAGCTGGAAAACCTCGGTTGGAAGTTGAATCCAAGGTTCGAAGCCGAACCAGTTTTCAACGCCATCCAGGTTTAAAGTCCAGATTCGGAATGTTTTGCTTTTCCACAAGGACGCAGCTTGGCATCCGGCCATGCAGCTTGCACGAAGATGCGAAATTTCTCTGGTTCAATATTGTAACACACAGAGAATTCTTTCACTATCGCTCGAGATCGGCAGCCTTGTCAACCAAAATGCATTTTTCTGCACAGTGCTGCAACCTACATCTTTGCTTGACTTTGTTGGACAGATTTCTTTCCAGGAGATAAATTTGATTTTTTTTCGCTGTTGTGAGTGCTCGTATTTTTGTTCTTTGGGACTTTGGTTCGAAACGAAAAGAATTGGCTTGTTGTTCTTTTGTGTTGAGTTGTGGTTCTTTGTAAATTTTCATTTTGCGGTTTGGTGTCGTTTCGTGTGGCTTCTTTTTTTAATGTTTGTGATTGAGTCGTTTTTTTTTTCAGTTTTCTTTGCAAAAACCACACAAAGTCATGTCGTGTTTCTAGTCTTGCTCTATCACTCTGTTGTTTCGACTCCAGCTCCGGATCCGTCCGAACGGCAGAGTGTCCGTCGTTCGTATGCTCGTGCCATCGCTAAACTCGCGCTGTTTCCGCTCTTCCAAGTTGCACAGCAGCAATCTTGCAAAACATCACAGCATGGTTGGACGATGTGAGCGTCGACACGAATGATTCAGTCTTTCAGCATGCTTTCAAAACAACTTGATGCAAAATGATGGATTCCGTCTAAAAACTTGTTTTGTTTGCACGGATGCTGCATCTGCACAAGTTTTTCAAAGGTTTTGGGGCCTGAAGCCCCACCGGTCAATGTCTGAGCACGCGATTTCAAATGCTTTGGATGGCGGGTTGTTGAATCAATGATGGTACTTGCAGTGAAAATCGAAAGCCAAATCCAAATTGCCAAGCTTGTGTCTTTGCAGCTGCTGCGTTGCACAGCTTCTGAGCCACTTCTCGTCAGGTAGCACTTTGAACTGTCCACTTATCGGCACCGCATGTTTGCTGCTAAGCTTTCGGATACTACTCGTATGTTTTATTTGATCCATATAGGTTGAAGCGTCTCAGCGTGATTCCAAGCCTAAGCTGTTGTGTGCCATTGGCCGCCTTTGCATCACTGTGCCGCTCCGCAGAGGCGCGGCTATGATTGATTCTGACTGATGGTGAGGCTTTTAAAGTTCGACACAACACACAGACGATTTCCAAAGTTTCGCTCAAAACTGAAGACAAAGAAAAGGCTTAAAAATCAAGCGCACACTCACAAAAGAGCCTATCAACTACTATCAATTTGGCTTCAGGACTGCTGAGCGCACAGGCCTCATATCGGCATCGTCGATTTAAGCCATGATTGGTAAAAAAAGGTGAGCCTTTTGGACGTGTCGTTGTTGCTTGCCAGGCTGCGATCCAGCGGGATATTTGTGCAAGAGTTGCCCCTGAGTCATATTTCGAATGCCCCATGCCACCTGCGAGGAAAAGAAACAGTCCGTGCGTAGAGAGTGGGAGCGCTTGCAGGTTTTGTTGCATTGATTCCTTCAACATATCGTCAAGATTCGCGATTTTCGATATGAAGTATATTTGATCATATTTCGATGTGGAATAGATTGAATATGTATGGATGTGCGTCGAGCATCCAGCTTTTCCATTGAGAAGAAAGGTTTTTTCAGGCTCCCGTTGTTCGAAAGATCTGCGGCCATGCTGGACAATTGTTGCAGCACGATGACAAGCATACGTTGACACAAGCGTAGCATGATTACATGGGCAGGCATTGCATGAGGTTGTACGTTCCAACAGCACGATGAGGCATGACAGCGAAAATGAACAAAAACAAAAAACATTGCTTGTGCATGGGAGGCTTCGCGATCAGAGCTTGTAATTGGTGATAGTGTGTCAGATAAACTTCAGTGTTTTGTGCAGCGGAAAGAAATTGGGTTCCAGGTCGGGTTGTTAAGGATGATGCAACGTTTTGCAGCAATGTAGTGGTTGCGATCCACAATGCTCCGCCGCGGAGCTGCGGCGTGTTCGCCTTGAACATGGACCATACACATCTTCAGAATCAATTATTTTGTGCTCAGATGTGTCAAACGTAGCAGCACTGTGACAAAATGCGAACCGTCCCGTCCCGTACACCAATTCACAGTGGAACATGGCACGCAGAAATTGTTTCAACGGCAGCTTGAGTAAGTTCGAAGGGACAACGGGCAAGCCGAGCTTGTTGTGTGTGCCGTGGCCCACGTTTGGAGGGTGAGTGGCAGGTTCGGATGGATTAACCAGCACGAGGCCGAGGGCAACCACAAAGTTTTCGAGTACTGCGCTTGCAAGGCAAAGGCAAGAGCTTCTTTTTCGCATCGATGTTCGTAGACGAGCAGTTCCCGCCAGATGAATCATCGCTTTGGGGCCGAGATTCGTTGCAGCGGTGGTGCTATGAGAAGCTCGAATGGCTGCGTCCGCACCAACTTCGCCCGATGCCACATGGTCTTTTTGATGCAGATGCAAAGCCGGGAACATGCAGTGTAAGACAAGGCTGCATCCCCGATTGTTACCTGGTCTCCGCAATTGCTCTTGTGGCCCAACAACCTCATCTGGTACGGCATCTGTTTGTTGCTTACGAGCCGGAGGAAGGCCTGAATGTTTGTCACAGGCTTGTCATAGGAGTAGTGCTTGTGTATGTTGCACTCTTGCAGTATGTTGTGGAAATCTGCACATCTACTTTTTTGTTGGCGCTTTTTGCCAGCCAGGAATTTGCACAGTCAAGCTGTTCAACGGAGGCTGGAAGAAGGTCACCATTGACACCTTGTTACCTTGTGTGAAACAGCGACCTGCCTTCGCTCATCATGACGGTGGAAGGGAGTTGTTTGCTTGCTTCCTGGAAAAGGCCTGTGCAAAACTGCATGGCAGCTATGCTTGTTTGTGTGGCGGCCGTGTTGACGAGTCGCTGTTCACACTCACAGCTGCACCGGCCTTGGAGATCAGATCCTTCATGCGTGAAACTCTTCTGGAAAAGCTGCAGGCAAATGGTGCGGCGAATTTGCTGGCATGTGCAAGCACGTCGCTGACGTCTGGCCCCTCACGTCCTGTCTCTGCAATGCCCATCCGTCCTGACCATACGTATATTGTCAGATGTGTTGGCGATCCGTGTCCGAATCCCAAGATTATGGTATTAGACCTCGGTGCTGATGAAAGAGGTGAGAAGTATCCCGAATCGAGCATCGGAGAACTCTTAATGCACTTGGACGACTTTCTCCGGACGTTCAATCGACTGTTTGTCTGCTATGTTGGACAATTTCATGCATCACCCTCTCTGCCTCGACACTCTGTGGATGTGGCCGTTACCGTGAGCACCGCAGGTGGTGCCTCATCGTTTCCGACGTTCGAAGACAATGCCATGTTTAGGATCGTGCCATCGCGGAAAACGCTACTAGCAGTGACACTGTCACAGCGTGAGATTCCACAGACTGCTCGAGAGCTCAACATGTATGGACGGTTGCCTCTTCCGCAGATTGGGGTCACGGTTCTTCGTCAAGACGTGTTTCCTGATGTTCCAACAGATGCGAAGAGCTGCACCCGCAACCGTCGCAGAATCTTGCATCAGACCCCCTTTGAAGGCAAAAGGCAGGCATCTCTTGTCTTTGAGGTTGAGAGCCTTCCAGCAAACTTGGAATACCGAGTTGTTCCGTCTCATTACTTCCCTGGAGATCGTGGTTCGGGCCGATTCCAGCTTCATTTCACGTGGTCAGGCCCAGAAGATGGCATCCTCATCGAAGAAATCACGGAGTGCTCTTGTGGAACCGATGTTAAATTTGCAGGGACCTTGGCTCCCTGTAAACAGGCCATATTCTCTTCCCAATCTCCGTCCTTCCGAGTTTGCAGCCCTTCGGTTCCAGTTCATGTCACAGCAACATTGACACGTCGTGTCGAATCAACGCTTTGCTGGTGGAAGCAGGATCCCTTGCAAGCATTGTTGCGCGATGCTTTTTGCTCGTTTGATGCTGATGCCGATGGGTTTCTTAGTCGAGACGAACTAGCAGACCTGTCCTCTGGATTATTGAGAAATGATTCGCCAAGCAAGACTGATTCAGGTCCCACGAAACTGCAGATATTCGCACAGCGGTGTGATCAGTTGGATCTTGACACCATCAGCTTCGGTCAGTTCTTGTCACATAACCTTTGGTCTGGGCTTGCCATGAAGGGTGATCTCGAACGGAATGCGCTCAAGATGAGAGAGTGCTCTCGTACCTCGAGAGATTCGCATAGTTTGGCGGCATGTGCTGCTGCAGATTCTTCTTACGCTGCAGTGGCCGCATTGGATTGTCCGGCACAGTCGTTCCAAGATGCACGTGTTTCGCTGGCCAAAGGCTGTTCTGAGCTTCCACTATTGAGTGATGCGGCTGTATGGTCTACAAGTTACTCGATCCAGCAGCCGGAATTTTACTTGTGTCCCGTTTTGCAGGGAAGTGCAAGCTGCAGTTTCGAACTGCGCATTCAGAGTTCGTGCAATGAGCTCCGGGTGGAGATGGCTGGAGCTGCAGGAATCTCGACGCAAAAGATGCAACCATGCTGCTAAGGCAATGCATTCGGCACACATCGAGTTATGAAAAAAAAGCTCTTTGTCTTTCGTTACTGGCACGAGAAGCTTGCGATGTGTGCTTGTTGCACTCAGCTCCGGGATCACTGACATGCTAGAATTCAACACGGTTCAGATTCCAGCTTGGGGGTGATAAACGACGTTGTGACCGTCATGTCCCCCCCAGATATGGAATTGCGCTGGATTTCTTGTCATCTGCATCTTGCATGGCTGCTACGATAGCTAAACTGAAACGTCTGGTATACCCTGGACACTGGGAGGCCTGGGTGTTTTCATCTGGTTTTCGTAGTTTCGTATCACTTAAGCAAGGCAGGACATGCTGTGCATTTTGGTCGCCCGGCACTGTGGCCGCCGTGGACCCTGCCCGCGCTGCCGTGAGCCAGATGCTGTCCTTTGATGGGACTTCAGCTCATGCTGCCACTTGGCTGGAGAGGGCCTACTGCTTCGTGGGGCTTGGAGTGGACGACGGTCAGGCATTGTCAATGTGGATATACTTGCGGTATCAAGGCTGGGAGGGTCCTGTGCAGCGGGAAGTCAGGAGGGGCAGCTTCGGTTTCTGCTGAGTGCAGGCTGCCTTGGACCGGCACCTGGCAAAATTTGCCGGCACTGAGTTCGAGCACGAGCACGGTGAAGACCTCAGCATTCTGTGGCTTGCAGCCTATGAGTCTGGCTTTGAAAGGCCCCAGCTTGCCGGCTCCCAGCTTGCCAGCGAGAGGTGTGCGAAGTGTCGTGGCCTCGGTGTCATGGCTTCGGTGTCATGGCTTTGCGCATATTTGGCTCTTGCAAGCGTGACATCAAGGCTCCACTTTTGGAGTTTGGCAAGGACTTCTATGAAAGCACCTCGCCCAAAGGGAAACATGAAACAGCCGTGCAGCCTGCGACTAGCCCGCCAGCATACTACCGGTTGCCGCCTTCGCTCAGCCTGTCTCGAGCGTGGGGTAGCGCAAGAGGGGCAGGCCCAAAGGACTGCTGGCTTTCGTGGCAAAAATCAACCAAAGGAAGACTTACAGAATTCCAATCAGTATAGTTACTCCGATAATCCTAATCAGCTAGCAGTCCTCTATACGAGTATCCTGTCATTTGCGCACCGGTTGAGAAGGTCAGCGCCCCAGGCTCGTCGCTCGAAGTGGAACTGGCCGTCCGCTGGCGTCTGTTGGCCTTGGGACGAGGTCACAAAGCCACAGGCTCTGGAACGATGGGATTTCTGCTTCCGTTGCTCCAGTGCCAACAGGATGTCAAGGGTGTTAGGCAACGAAACCTAGTGAACACCGCAGCCTGGGTGCAGGACATCAGAGCTGGAAAGGATGTTCCAGCAGATGCTGTAGGCCAAGCATAGTCTTCGCCGGTTCAGTTTCGGGTGCACCGATACTATGCATTGTGCAGGAGGACGGGATGCGCCAAAGGAAAGTGCGGCGTCAAACCCCAGTGGCCGTGCGGAAGCGAAGGCAACAAGGTGGATCTAGGATTGAAAATGTGGTGTGCCTAGCTCAGTGTTCTGTGTTGACGCGTGCTATAGGAGCTCGGACTCTGGGGGTCCTTGTCGAGATCAAGGCCAGCGGTTCCCACCGATCATATCTGGCTTCGCTGTGACTTGAAGCTTCGAGAACTTCACGGAGGTTTCATCGATTCTGGGCCAGTGAAGGCTGGCAAACCTGCTTGTGCCTGCTGAAGTGCATGAGCGGTGGTTGGAAGCTCTAGAAGGTAGTGGAGTGAGATATTCAATCAATGGTCCATGATGGTCCGATCATGTTGCTGCAATTGACATCCTGTGCACCGGCGGCTATTCTGCGCAGCTAGCTTGCGTGGATGAGGCTTCGAATGTACATACGAGTTTCGCTCCATCTGCCGGAACATGTCAAAGGCCTTGCCCTTTTCCAACTTGCTGATGTTTGCGCTGGCAGAAGTGGCTGCAGTCTCAGAACTATGTGAGGCAGGCAAAGAACAGTGAAGCAGTTCTCATGCAGTTAGCCGAACTTCCATCCCAGAGGTTTTTGCATCATTCCACGTCAAGCCACGTTCAGGGAGTCCATCTCTTCCTCACGCGTTTGTGGTCTCTGTCAGTTTTGCTTTTTGTTGATTGCCTTTGTACTGTTGTTTTGTACGTCGTTTATAATGTCGCTTTGGCAGTTTAGAGTTTGTGACAAGTTTCGCATGTCAGTTCCCGTTATGGACGTAAGGCAAAGGCTGCAGCTGCTCGCGGCCAGACACAGGCATATGTAGTGCAGGAGCTCACTGTTTGAGCTAAAGTAGAATCGGTAAGAAGCCAAGCTGCTCCAGGCGATGCAGCGCTGTCCAAAGACAGTATCTTGCCGAAGACTGCACTGCGAAGAGGCTTCGGAAGTCTGTGTTTCATGGAGCAGCTTTTGAAGACTTTTCCGCTCGAGGCTGAAGTCGCATCCAAGAAACGGTGCTCTGCTTACGCTGCGAGCATGTTGCCTCTTTGCCATGCTGCTTCAGTCTTGCTCCTTTGCTGCGCATCTTTTTATTCCTGGAGGCGCGTAGATGAGAAGCTTGATGGCGATGTGTTGACTCAGCGCAGTCCTGAGGGGTGCTGAGTCTCGGCAGATTCTTTCAAAGAGGGGATGCGAGGTGTACAAAGGACAGTCCAAACAGGTGCCGTGACGTGCCAGTCAATTGTCCAGTGAGAGACTGGACTTAAGCGACTGACATCTGAACACGGCACGGGGGATCCTTGCGTATCTGACAAAGACTTGACAGATGACATCAGCTGCATCAGCTGCATCAGCTGCTGCATCAGCTTCAAGACATTCTGTCGAGGCTTTGTCTTACACGGGATAGGTTTGCGGTTTGAGCAGCCTCCGCTGGCCGCTGGCCGCTTGCACTGGCAGGAGCTTCAAACTTCAAGCCCATAAGGCCAGCCTCAAACAGGGCGATGCCCGGTACCAGGCATGTACAGTGTTGTAACATTACGAGGATTCTGCAGAAACGGGCACATCACGGCCGCCTCTTTGCCACAGTCATATTGTCGATGGGACAACCGTGACAACATGCAAGACCGCAACCGGCAAGGTTCTTTATGTGATGAGTTGCCGGGTCCACAGGGAAAGCAGCAGCAATTCTGACAGGGCATCTGTCCATGCAGACACATGTTTTGGCGCAACGTCGTTGCGTTTCGCGAGGTCCCCAAATACTCAAAAAGGAATTCCGTCCGACTGTATGGGTCGAACGTCGACGATGGTAACTTCGACGAAGCCGGCCATGGCTGTTGGGTGCTTAGCACGACTCCATGAAGTCGCTAAGGCAGCTGAGTGACATTCGTGAAAGCAGGACAAGCAGTTTCGATTCCACGCAATTCCTCTGCAGCTAGGCGAGGAGATGGCAACAGAAGTATTGAACCCAATGTCGAACTCGGTACGTCGAAGCTTCAGCAAAGTCGCCACATCGCGAGTCGCAGCTCAAAGCAGCCGCCAAGCCACCAAGCCGAGCAGAACTGAAAGATCCTGAAAGGGACAGGACACAGGTCGGCTGCACGTCTCGTCCGAGCCTCCCACGCGCAGGAAATCCCTTCAAGCCTAACCCCGTGACTAGTTTTGAAATCTGGAAAGGCCGACAGTTCCTTGACGTACGCATATGTCGGCTTGAGTTTGTGTTTGACGGGCGTGGTGCATGCCGGTAGCACAGCACTCAGGACTCGATGGCCGTGCCCTCAATGGTATTTCCGGTTTGTCCACGCCAGCGGAAGAGGACGGTCCAGGTGTTTCTAGACTCAAGGTCAGGCTACTTCTGGTGCGACACGCGCAAAGTGCTAACAAAGCACGCGAGCTGCCTGTCTGAGTCTAGCAATGATTGCAACTCGAAAGAAGTTTTCATTTTCCTCCCAGTACCTGTCCTTGAGGCCTGGCTGCCCCGCGGAAGCCGATCCAGGCGGAATCTGCCCCGGACTTTCACCGATAGAATTCTTTCGCACTGCAGAGGTTTGACAGAGCTCGGATTCCGACAAGCAGCTGCTCTTGCCGAGAGGCTGCAGAAGGAGCTGAGGCGAGGCTGCGTCGTCATGAGTGCACTTCAGTTGTCAGTCGTTCGCCAGGTCCGTGAAACTTCCCCACCTCACCCTGGTGTCTCGGTCTCAGTGTTGCAGGCCAGGCGAGCTGCGCATTTAGTGGCTAGCGCGTTCTGCCAAAGGTCCAGTCCGATGAGGCCACATTGGTCGCAGAATGGCATCGACGAAAGAAAGCAGATCTGAGAAGGCGCTGCGTCTACACCATGCAGCCAGCAATCCAGGCTTTGCAACCACAGGCCGAGGTGGCGGAGACTCCGACTCTGTGAGCGCTATCTCGTTTTTTTGTTGTCCTTGTCAGCACACTCTCTGTCACGGTGGAAGTTACGAGTTTGGCTGTGCCAGAGTCTGAGGACTTTGCCAGTGCTTCATGTTACGTGCATAATCAAAGACTGGAGGCTGGCAAAGTTCATCCTGGATCAAGTCTACACGAGCTGTTGCAGGAGTTTCCCGAGTTATCGTGTCGCGCTTGGTTGAGCAGTCATAGGGCTCGTGCATCACTGTTCCACAGCTAAGGCAAGGTGGCACGAAAAATCGGTCAAACCAGCAGTCGTCGTCCTTCCGGTTCAGATCCGTCTGCTATGACTTTGCAGCATATTCACAGCCGTGTGGTAGCATGCTCTTGATCATGCCGCGAATGCCACTGGGCCGAACATGAGACCGTCGTGGTACTCGGCAGAGCGTACAACCGCAGATTCTTCCACTCTGGTATCTGGCATTCCCTCGCCTTTCGGTCTGTGGGGTGTATGGTTGCCCGATTCCCGTTGTGGATGTTCCTGCGGAGTTGCATGGAAGCATGGCATGGGTGCAAAGGATCGAGATGCTTCTTTTCAAGGGCAGCCTCGACAGTCAGCTGCTGCGTGTGGGATGCAGGCTGCGGAGTCAAGCAGTGCTTGGCATGGATCGAACTTGGCTTGCCCCGTTGCCATAGCATGCCTTGAGAAATAAGGCTTTCAGCGGTGCGATTTCACCTTTAGAGGCTGCAAACAAGTGCACGTTGCATCCTGTCATGACCAAGGCCAGTCGGTTTCAGTGCGGATGGTTTCTGGGACTATCAGGGATGCAACGACAAGGCTGCAGTGTGGGAACAGACTTGCGTCGGATGCTCGCAATCTGACCCACCTTGGAGGAGACAGAGCCTGAATGTAGAGCGCGAGTCATGCGGCTTGCAGGAATCCAAGACCAGGATCAGGATTTGGCACGCGAAGCGCAAAAGCTCCACTGCTGCGGCAGGTCAGCTGGTTGATGACAATCGCGAGAACTAGAGGCGCGGGCTTTCCAGCCGACTTGTATCGTTTCATGTTATGGGCTGGCGGCACGTGGGGTTCGGCGGCAGCTGATGTGTAGCAGTGTAGCATAGATCCGAACTCACAAAGATCCCAAAAGTGGGAAGCCTGAGTGCCAAAAGCGAGGACTCTGTCAGCACTTGTTCCGTGTTGGTCAGAAGTATGAAGGCCTGCAGTACAACAGGAACGTTGACTCCTCGAAGCACATGTGCCAAGCATCTTCTAACACTCCTAGCTGGGATGTCTACGACAGTTGCACATGCACCACCCTTTCTGTCATCGTACCAGGATTGTCAACTTCAACCGTTTTTTCGACGCACTGTCACAGCATTGCAGTTTCGATGGCGTTCCTTCTATTCTACAGGCCGTAGCAAGACATGTTGACCAGAGAGCTATTAGATACCTGTCCACATGTTCGCATAGGTGGACCGAAGGGCCACACCATCGTCCTGGTCACTCATCAAACCATAAACGACCTGCCGCGGCCTCCAGCCATTACTGGATCACATGCCCAGACGAAACGCTCTTTTCTGAAGGTTGTGCAGCATTCTTCTTGATGGCACTGCTGCTGTCTGGAAATATGGACAAATCAGGCCAGGGCAGAGTACAGACAGAAGCTTCGATATGAGCAATTAGCCGCTGTTGCTGCTACGCAGAGGCTGGTCTCATGAGTTTGTGCGCGGGAGGTACCGCCTGCAAAATGCAGGTATCACAGAGGCCGGCGTTTGCATTTGGCCCCTGCAAAGATGAACACATTGAACACAGACACACAGACACACAGAGACGGAAGGTCTTTGTCGCTGGGACTGGAGAAGCGCGTTTGGGGGCACGTGACCCAGTGACACAGGAAATGAGGCACAGGCAGTGCCAAGTGTCGACGATTCATACCAAGGTGCGGAATGATGGCGCTCATCTGCTGTCTATCAAATGAGTTGCTCCCGGACGAAAACCGATTGTTTTGTGTAGTTCGTGGGGAGCTCACAACCATGGAGGATTCGCAGCGAAAGGACACTTGCTTGCCAGGAGTGCACGAATTGACCGCCTTGGCTGGAATCGAGCACAGTGAGTGGTTCTTCAAGTTTAAGTCGCAGTGGGGCAACAGCAAGGCGAGAACATCGGATGGCAAGGTCTGCTGTTTGGAGACTGCAAGCTGCACAAAGCTGCACAAGCTGCATAGACACCTGACAGACGGCAGCTTTAGCCGACGGAGCCGACATATCGGAGCAATGCCTATGTGCAGAACTTCAGCTGGGAGGCATGAAGGCCTTCAGGGCCTTTGAGGGAAGAGCGAGGCTGCCGAAGTGGAAGTGTGGCGGACGTGTAGTGAGCAGCTCGTGTCGGAGGAGTTTGCGGTGCGAGGCGATGAGGTTCAGGACATTCAGGATCACTTGAATCTTGAAGCCGAACGGGGAATGGACCAGTTCCCAAGACTTGGCAGGATGTGCCAGAGATGTCCATTCTCACAGGTCCGGTAACGGGCAATCTTGGAACGGAACTCAACTGGCAGACTGGTGCAGGTGTGACGAAACGCACCAAGCGGCACATTGAAGACACCAAGGTGTGGACTTTGCGCTCCTTTCCATGTATGCAAGCGTAGGTTAGTTTGTTGCCGGTCTCAGTCGCTTGGCACACAGTCTGACCAGGGTCCCGCCGACGTCGTTGCATGTTCAGCACGCAGATTGCCACAGCACCAGAAATCAACATGGGCCACTCACTCCGCTTGTTCAGGTACGGATTAGTGCACAGTCATGAGGAACGTTTTTTGAAAAGACGATCTGCATGGGTTGTTTCATGTAGACAATGTAGTCGCATGCTGCGATCGGCATTGCTAATACTCGAACTTGTTGAGGATCGACATTTTCTTTTTCGTCAATATGTTTCGATATAATGTCGTTGATGGTCATTGTGACGAGCAGACTTGCTGGCGTGTCATGCGGGTCCGGAAAATGTGACCAATTTTTCAAATCTAAATCTACTTCGAGTGCTTTCTGTCCCCAGTTGCAGGAAGTCTCACGCATCCTTCACAGTGAACAAGATAGTTGAAGATGATGTGGATGTAGGTGCTCATCGGGAATGTCGTCAACTTGACACTGGCAGAGTATTGTATGGTTGGTCATGCGCTTGTAGGAGTTTAGACGCTTAAGCGCTCAGGCACCCTTGTAGGCATGGGGCGCTTGGAGGCGCGTGCAGCTTTTGGCGCTTGCAGGCGCTTGGAAGCTGCGATCAGAATTTAAGGGGCTGTTTTGCCCCGAGCATAGGCCTGTGGACACTTCAAGGCGCTTAGACGCATGTAGGCGCTTCGACGCTTGCAAGCGCTTCGATGCTTTTAGGCGCTTCGACATTCACAGGCGTCGAAATGCTATTCGGGCTAAAGATTCTTTCAGGCGTTTTTTTTAGCATCTGCCACACCCATCGCAACAAGCAGGCCGGGGCCGGCAGCATCCGGTAAAGCAACATGCTTGGTCTGTCGCAATGGTACGTGTAGGTGCGTGTTGAAATTGGGCCTTCTATGCCGTCTATGTCCCAGCAGAAAGGCTGAAAGGCTGTGTTGCATTCTGTTGGTGGGTTTGAGAGAGCGAAGCACGAGGAACATAGCCATGGCAGGCCCTCACCATGTTTTACCAAAACAGAAAGTTTGTTGACTCGCGCCTGGCGCATTAACCGGGCAACATCCAGATATCGGCTGAACCCAACCCTATATAGCAAGATGCTGATGACTCATGATGTTTCAGCTCAAGCGAGACATATTGGATCATGCAGTGACGTTGCGTGGTGTGCGTGCTCCGGAGATCCCAACTTAAAGCCAAGGTCTTCGACGATCGGCGCCAGCATAGCACTCATTATATTTTGAGCCAGCAACTGCCACTCTGCTATGCGGCACTCCCTGCAACAACTCGTCCCCGCCCCAGAGAGGATAGCCGATCCCCCGCCGCATCGCCCTGAGGCGGGCCGAGTCAGAGACTTTGACTGGCAAGGGCAGCGTTCGCTGCACCATGAAGCACCGGGCGCCCCTGCAGGTCACGATCAGGGTGAAGAAGATCGTCTTCGGGAACATCAAGTTCCGAGGCGGAGCTCTGCCTACTCCCCCGGCAACCGGGACGACCTTCGAGCTCACGACCGCTGGGAAAAGAAGGTGCGAGTTTGGCAGCTGCAGGTGGCGAGCTATCTGCCGGCCAATGACGCCGCAATTGCTCTCTATGTGAGCCTGAAGGTCGAGGCCGAGGAAAGATTGGAGTCGGCCGACCTTGGCAAGATCAACAGCAAGGCCAGCGTGGAGTTCATCCTCGAGACCTTGCGCTCCGCTCTTAAGACCCGGGCCGTGTACCAGAAGAGGAAGTACATCCAGGATTTCGGCTTCAGTCTTGCGGAGTCGACATCGAGCCCATGTACGACTCCGAAGGTCGTGGCGCACGGCTGTTGGAGCGGCTGCGAGTGGCCTGCACCGATCAGCACAAGTCCGTCCCGCCTGTCATGTACACCCGGGAGTTTGACGGAGGCCGGCACCAGAACGAGAAGCCGGAGCAGAAGGGCGCTTCAAAGGGGGCCGGTCGACCCAAAGGCAAGGGCCACAACAGGCCAGATCGTAAGGGCAAGGGGGCGAATGTGTACGTCACCGATCAGGCCGAGAACCTTCTCTTCGAGGACGCCCCGGAAGTGCTGGGGGGCATCCCCGAGGACGGCGAGGACGACGACGGCGAAGAGCTGGTGCCGAACGAGGACGCCGAGCCGGAGGACGAGGACAGGCAATCGTGGATGCTGCGGGCGTCTTGACGCCTTGACGCCTTCAAGGAGTTCGCTTGGGCAGGAAGTTTTCGGGTGGCAAGAGCACCGCGGAGGAGCTCAAGCGCAAGTCACATTGCTCGGTTTGCGGGCAATTGGGCCACTGCGCCCGCGACGAAGCATGCTCTATGTCGGCCACCTGCAAGAACAAGGCCGCTCCCAGAGCGGCAGCCAGAGGGCAGCCCAAAGGCAGCTGCACGTAAAGGCAGCTGCACGTCCGGATTAAACTTTCCACAGGCGGCGCCAAGGTCATGATCGTCCGGTCTGAGGGCCAGCAGGAGATCCCCGAGGAGGAACGAGTACGGCAGCTACTTCACCACCTTTGTGTGCCGCGCCATGCCTGTATTGCATAGCGTGGCAGATGTATACATCACACGGCCAGCCGACTTTGCTGGATATGCGGTGCTCGACACAACCTGCCAAAAGTCAGTGTGCAGCGGCGGTTGGCTGAAGGGTCAGGTTCGGCTTCTGCGTCAGCATATAAGATGAGTGTGAAGGCCATGCCGGAGAAGGAAGGGTTCCAGCTCGGTTGTGGACCAGTGCAGTTCAGCTCGGAGCATGTGTATGTGCCGGTTGCCTTTGACAGCTTGCCGCACAACTGCTGTTTGTTCGGTGCCAGTGTGCTGCACGAGAACTGTGAGATTCCCTTGCTGAGCCCCACAAGCTGCAAGCCATTCTGAACTTCTCGAAAGGTAGTGTGTACTTTGGGGCTTTTGGCGTCGATGTTCCCATCGTTAAGATCAACAGTCACCTTTGCATCTCCATTGCCAATGTTCTTGCAGAGCGGTCTCAGTGGAAGCTGCTTTCCGAAGCTCTGGATCAAGGTGATCCCGACCTCGAACTGGTGTGCCTGCCCCTTGAGCCTTCCACAACGGCGCCACCGCATAAAAGTGGGCTACATCCTCGGGGCCGAGATGACGTTATAGTGAAGTTGTTGCTGCAGACCGTGTGCCTGGGACTGCGACCGAGAAGCTGGATCGCACCGTGCGATCCGGGCCACCAGGAGATGCGCGCGGCGGTCCTGGAACAGATTGTTGCGCCCTGCAAGCACCCGCCGGCCAGTGTGGCCAGGAGCTGCAACCAGGACGCAGCTTCAGTCGGTGCACCCTGTGCGGAACAAGGTGGCGGTATACCCTCGCCTGGGAAGAACTGCCTTCCTCGCAGCAGCGCAGTGGCAACTTCCTCTGGCGCGGGCCGGGACTTTAAGACGAGGTCTTCTACGCGGAGGCCACCTCGAGTTCCAGTAAGGGGACGCCCTGCAGGAGACGAAAGAGGTAGGAGGTGGCCGAGTTCGGCGGCTCATTGATGGCACCACGAGGACTTCTCACTACGAGCTACCTGTGAGCTTGACGCCTATGAGGCCATGCCGGCATTCAAGGACGTTGCCCGTGCACCGTGGGTTGATATCATGGAACTGGGTTTCGGTGTGGGCCGCCTCGTGGACCTGCGTGTGCCGCCGCTACGGTTTGAGCGCTGTGCAGCCTTGGGGCTGATGTGGAGCGAGCGGTGGAGATGATTCGGCGACTGCAACCTTTTTTGTGTGTGTGTGTGTGCTACCTTTTGGAACCTCCGGGCCCCCATGACTTGGTGCTTCGTGTGTGCCAAGAACAAGTTGATATGGTGGTCGCCTGTTCTTTCCCTTTGTGACGGCGAACCCCATCGCAACGGCGACGGCAAAACGATTCTCGATTACCTCGCCGGCCTCCCCGCCCGATTACATGATCGCCGAGGGCGACCAGGCAGCCTACGGCCGGAGCACGAGGTGTTCTTTGCGAGGCTTGGAAGACGGTGCTGGATGACGTTGAGGCCCGCTTCATGAACGCGTGCATTCACAGCGGAGACCCGGTGTACCAGGCACTTGAGCTTGTGCCCTGGGAAGTTTCTCAGGTCCAAGCAGCCTGGACACCACAAGCCCGCCATCTCCCTCAGGAGTTTCCCTACACCCACCGAGCAGACCTTCGGCTTACAAACGGCGACTTGAGCTCGAGGCCGAGGACCTGGGTTCGGTGAGCTTTTTCAAGCAACGCTTCGTGAAGGCGGTTCGTGTCGCCGCGTTCTTCTACGCAGAAAATGGACACAGAGATCTGGTTTGAAGGCAGGTGGACAGCAAGCTCCAGGCCTCGCTCGCCTGACTTCGTGTGAACCCACGCATCCCGCGCCGAGCTGCTTCGAATGCTGGCTGCCGCTGGCAAAGGTGTTGTCGGCGGCACTTGACGCGCTGCGGCGCGGCAGCTGCCTTCGCACCCGGCAATCGAGACAGCCGGCGCCCTCAGGACTCCCGAGCGATTTTAACGGCTGCTTTGGCGAGGTGCTCCAGGGCGACATTGTGTACCTCCGTGTGATCGACGGCAAGAAGTTCCCTGTGCTGGGTCTGACCGGCGAGGCGACGTCCTACCATGTTGCCGTCACGGTGCTCAATAAGAGCCCAGGCACGATCCTTAAGGCCATCCTGCAGATGTGGTACCGCACTGTGGGCCTCCCTCTGAAGTTTCGATGTGATCCGGGTGGCGAGTTCGGCGGTGTTCGAGGAAAATTTCAGATGCCCATGATGCTTTTGGCTCATGATGACTCAGCTAGGCTGGGCTTTTGAGCTACTGTGTTTAAACAATTCGTATATCGCGAACCAACAACTTTTATGCTCCCGAAGTTTTGTTGCTTTTTTTGAAGCACATGCACACAGTACACACACGCACATGTGTACATGAGTGCAGTGCCTCTAGGCTCTGGAAGGGAGTAGAAAGCCACTGGGCTAAAACAACAGAAAGCAGATCCCCGCAAAAAGGAAGATCAATAGTCTGAAAGGGTCACGGGGACGGCCCATGTAGCTCAAGTAGAGAAGTCTCACACATGAGTGTGTGTGAGTTCACGTTGCATGTTTCCGAAGCCGAGCGCTTGGAGGACCAAGCTTTACACGGTGAAACTGCGATTGGCTCAAGAATCGGGCTCAAGTCCGAGTGAGAAACGTCTGAGCGAAGGGTATTGTGTTCAGGGTTATTTCGGAGTTCTGGCCGGCTGTGTGGTGTGCACCTCCTTTGCAAGTGCCAGTGTTTTGCCAGCAAGTGTTTGAAAAAGCGCCCGAAGCCCAAGCCCCGAAAGCCGAAGCAGTGCGTTGCAGGGAATGTTGTGCTTGGCTTGTGTCGAGGCGCTCTCGTGTGAGGCTGTGCAACCTTCCCTAAAGCCCAAGCAGAGCAAGTGCCCTGCGGCTGTGAACACGACATTGTAGAATACCTTCAATGCTTGGGAGCACTGTGCAACATTCTGGTTTAGGATTCGTTCCCCACCCCTGGTTTAGACGGTTCTTTTTCTACCCTAAGGCTCAAAGGTTCAAACAGCGAACAGCTAGTCGGCGACGACATTGGTTGCGACGACTTGCTTGAAGACGACCTTTGACGACTTGCGTGATGGAGCTACCTGCAGTTCCTACTGACATGGAGTTATCGCCTGCTCCAACGCATTGTTCCGTTGTAACTGACGGAACACCCGAACAACAACAGGTTATGACTGCCGAAGCTACCCTTGAAAATGCTTCGCTATCGACATATATTGCCACCATGAATGTGCATACTATGCAACGTATGCAGCTTCATGTGCCAATGGAGGTGCTGAGAAGCTTCCAACAGGCTTCGGCAATGGACCAAACATTGCTGAGTGATGTGAGGGCGGCGGTGCAGGAATTGCACGACCGTATCCATTACCGTACTGGTGCACTTGGTGATGCTATCCTATCCGTTCATGGCGGGTGTCAGAAAGTCCTTGATGAGTTGCGAACCATAAGTAGTGCTGTGGACGCACAGCAGCGCACCTTGAAGGCTTTGATTCAGAACCGTGATGAAATGCACGTGCAGATGCAGTCAGTGAAGAACGACTTTCAACCGATTGTGATCCCGCTTGAGCGTGCTCAGATGGGCATGCTGCAGTGGCAGGCTCAGGTGGAAACCCACGTGCAGAAGATTGAGTCTAATCTTCATGCCAAGAGAGAGGCAGCAGAAATTGGATGAAAGGTCCCAGGCTGCTTACCAGGCAAGTGTTAGCGCCGTGGGTAATACAGATCCTTCGTTGAAAACTGCATTCGATGTGTTGGCCAGCCGCTTGGATGATCTTCACAGCAACGCACGCAATGCTGCCAGTGAATTTAAATCCAAGGATGAACGCATTCAAGGCCTTGAGAAGGAGTTGTCTTAGTTGCATTCCAAGCATGAGCAAGTGTTGAGTCTTGTCGAAAGCTTGTATGCTGATGACGTTCGGCCTGACTGGAATTGGCCAGAGCAGCATGGAATGCAGTGGCACAACTTTGAGGCGCCACCCGCACTTAGCCCCAATAGTCCCGGTGTAGGCACACAATGCTTCCATATTGGTTCGCCGGAACAGTGTGGGGGATTTCAGCAGCCCGCCGAGAAGGAGTTTGAGTTTTGGGGTGCACCGTGTCATGATGGTCCAGCAGCTGAAATGTCAGCGGACGGTAATGCAGAGCAGGGGAGGGAGGTGCAGCAGCAACCACTCCCCCTCATCAGGCTGCAGATCCATTTGCTGGGGTAGGTGCAGCGGCAACCGCTCCCCCCTCTCATGCAACAGATCGGAGCGAGACAAATTCTGCCGATCGCAAGCAGGATCCCAATGATCTTGATATGATTCCTAATCAAAGGTGGAAGTGCCGAACCACAGGCATTTCGCTGTTGCAGTTATTCAATGGGATTATGTTGTAAGGTTGACGTCTGAGGGTTTGCGGTTTGAGATCGGGATATGGCCGAAGCCTGAAAAACAGTTATGTCTATGTTGGAATGGTTTGCGGGGTTCACACGGAACGAAAGTGCTCGGATGCAATGATTTGCCTTGCACGGACTGCGGCTCATTTCCGGTGGAAATTCGGGGTTGATATGGGATCCTTCAATCTTCACTGTTGATGTTGAGCCCCATGATCTCCGTTGACAGTTCAAACGTCCGACACCCTGAATTGCAAATCCACTCAGCGAATGAATCCTTACTGTTGGTGCTGGGCATGCTCAAGGCGTTTGTGGAAAGGACGAGCCAACACCTGCTACGCGCAAAAATTGCACGGGCGTCAAAATCCTCGCCCGCGCGACACGTGAACACTTCGAGTTTATGGTTCGTGCCCTCGCTTCCGTATGTTCAACAGAACGAAGACCGCAAGAGGCACTGGCTGAGTAAAGTGTGAGATCTCGCTGCGGGCGTTATCTATGCCGTGCAGTTGTTTTAGTACGTGTACATGGTTGCAAAATCCGTCAAGTCTGCTCGGCAAGTAAGTTCGTGTTGTTGGAATTGGAATGGAGCGAACAATACAAAACTGGCAGGTGATTCCGCTCATGTGGCCCGTCGAGGTGCTTCAATTGAGCCGGCTGTCGATGCTAGATTTATGTCGGTGAGAATGACAGGTACGTTTGTGCGTTGCGAGTTTTCTTCCATGGGCTGAACTTGTGGCCGACTCGTGTCTGCAGCACGTGCATGGCATTAGCTTCTTAGCTTTTGATTGGAAATTGCTGCAGGCACGTGCTTCATCCTGCTTCGCTGGCTTTGCCAGGTGTCATTCCTGGCGAGTACTTGAGATGGAAGACACACTCTGGCAGGCGCAAGAATCCGAGAGAATCTGCTAGAATCCAGGATGCTAGCAGCTAGTGGAATGGGTAGTGGGCACCAGCCGAGAAGGTGTACTTTGCATCAACTTGGCCCAGGATGGCCCGGCGCAAGAAGGACGGTGAAATCCCGTGAAGAGTCATCGCCCCCGCACTTCCCATTTTGTGAGGCTGCAGCCGATGACCAAGGCTTGCCTTGGCGGGCGCTCTTTCGTGCTCAGTGGTCGAAAGGTGGCAATCGTCAGGTGCCTCAAAAACGCGTTCTCAAGATGCTCCAAAAGCATGCTTCGAAAGCATGCCTTCACAGCTTCCCTCGATGCCAGGAGGATGCCCTCGAGGCAGAGGGGTCGCTGTGCTGTAAGTTCATTGACACCACGTCATCGTCTCATGTTCTGCAGGAGGACTGGCTGGACTTCAGTGCTGTCGGATTCCGAGCCGCTGCTCCAATGCTGTCCGTGCATAGCTGAAGCGGTATCTTCGGAGCGTGGTGGTATCATGGCTTTGTGGGGTTGAGATGTCGAATCTTGATCACGTTGTCACAGCTGCACTCCTGACTCTTCTCATCCGTAGCACGGCCATGCGCTTCGACACTTTCAAGGTTGGCAAGATATCAGCATGTGTTTTCACAGGAACAACCGTGACAGAGCTGCAATTAAAAGGTTGAATTCAACCAACCTGTGGCAGGGATTCCGGATGTCGAAGATCCTCCTCCTCCTCCTCCTCCTCCTCCTCCTTCTCCCCCCATCATCATCATCATCAACATAATAATAGTCAGATATACATATAGACGGTTTAGTCGTACACATGCTACATCACAAGCATCCCTCTTCCAACCGCAAGAATCAATATCGCAAGTAGTCAATCGCCTGCCTGCAAAGGATCTCAGACAACTTCCTGTTGAGTTTACTGTAGCATCATCCGTGGTTTCTCCTTAAGTTCCATGGGATGTTAATGGAATTCTGTCGCATGTTATAGGGTTTTCTTCGGATCCTTCTCAGCTTGCTAGTGAAGCTGTGAATTCCAAATTTTATTTCGTTGGTGTCAGAGTTTATAGTTAGATGTAGCTATATCGTTATCATATTTCCGGACAGCTATCGCAAGAAGTATTGGGAGTTACACGAGTGCCATGGTAAAACACCCTCTTCCAAATCTCACCATGCAGAGGGAATGACCCAAAATCCTACAATATCATGAGGTCTACATGCAAACCCTGATGAGTTTGCAGGCCATTGGCAGATGTTTTTCGATTCAAAAGGACTCCAATGCATTGCCACGACATCTAGCGACTTTTTTTGGTAATCTGGCGTATCGAACTCCTAATACATTGCAACAGACATGTTTTGATATTTCGGTTTAGATTTAGGCAGATCCTGCTGAAATCTCTATCTTGTGTCATACTTCTAACCCTTACTGCGTCCTAGCTCGAATTATTTGGATTCAATCGTGTTTTCGGTCATTTTACCATAAGTGAGTGTTGTCGCCAGGAATAAATCGAAGCGCAAAAGAGCTTCGTGAAGACTCATTCGCGAAAGCCGCAGTGAGTTCCGAAGGAACGAGCCTGATCCCTTCCACACCCGCGCCGCGGTTCAAGTGAAGCGTCAAGCAGACACTCAACACTAACAAGAAAGTCTGCCTTTGCGGATACGTTTTGTACTTAGCTGACTATACTCATCCACGAAGACCTTGCACGACAGACTGCGGGTGGTTGTCAAAATTAGGGTCCCTTTTAGGGTCCCTATAATAATACGGGTAGGGTACCCAAAAAGGGGCAGCTGCATGCTCTTCTGTCTGAAAAAATTCGAGATCCCTCGAGCATGTGTAATTACAGCGTTGGCACAGAATCAAAAGTCTTGCTTGAAAGGTGAGCCATGAATTGTGCAACGATAGATCAGGCCACAAGGCTCAAGTGAGATTAGGATCCGTACTGGCTCCAGGGTGAAGCTTTCTGTAGGGCTGTTGTGAGTACTAAACTCCTATCAGCCGAAGTCATGTATTTCGTATTGAATGTTCTAGTAGGATGTAGTAGCATCCTTGAAAGATTTGATCATGAATTAATACATTTCTTATGAATGTAACAACCACCTTATGCTTCCATACTGCACTGAATACTTATCGCACCTAATGAAACCCTTACCAATTCCTGTTGAAGTTTCATGATATCGCTTACAATCTGATTGCTGCGTATTTCTGATTCAGTTCTAGAAAGTGTTGAATACATTCCAGTTGAGACATATTACGATCCCTGTTTCATGTCTATTTCACTCCGTGATGCCATTATTGAGTTCTTTTGAAATGGAGCAAAATCCGATTTGCAGGCTTCCAGTGATCTGGGAGACTGTTGGTTATGCAATCTGCAAATCTACCAGTCGGCGAATCAGAAAAGCTGTGCAGAAACAGCAGCGAGCAACAAAAGCCACAGCACATACATAAAATCAGAACAGAACGAACAAAGAATAATGTGAGTGCTGACGGCGATTGCTAACGTTTTCTTTCGATCGAGCTTCGGCAATATGCGGTTCATTTCGCCATGCGGTTACCAGCCGGGGCATTGTAGGTACGGTTGTGGCGTATGTACGTCGAGGTGTGAAGTGAGGGTGCTGTTGCATCAGCAGACAGTATATGCCGTTGGACTGCTCCTTCGGTGGAGATCTCAGATCTTGGTCGTTGGAGTCCTTCCGAGCTTCTGGTAACAGGAGTATGTCAGAGCCTCAAGCGGTGAGAGAATCTCGAATCGAAACAGAGGAAGCCGTAAAGAAGCAGGCAGACGGCTTGGCCGGCAGTCCGGTGGGTCTGGCGTTGAGGAAGGGGCTCAAAGATGAGTCATTGGTGGTGGACAGCACAACCTCTTGAGAAGCATCGCAGAGTACGACAAGGCTTGTGCACGTGCAGGCTTGTCGCAAGAGAGTTATCAATGCAAAGACTGGTGCTCGACAAGCCCAACGATGAGCTTCAATTAGCCTTGGTGCACTTCGAGGACACAACAGGCAGCAGACATAGCCTACATCAAGTCAGAGTGCTTAAGTGTGAGTTCTTGCATTGGTAACTGACTGGGATACGAAGCATACTCGTAGATTTTTCTACATTGGCCGATCCGACTGCTCTGAGGCTCAAGGTCTGGAGGCGCGAGTTGCATCACAGAGGCCCGCGAATGGAGTTTGACCGTTGCGTGATGTTGCGTGGCTGAGCTGGCTTGAGAAGGCCCCCGGTGCTCGCTTGGCCAGAGAAGCTGCAGCGTGCAACACAACGGTGTCGCGAGGTGCAAACCGACTGGTAGAGCTCATCCGCTGCGCCGCGCAGCATAATCTACGATGCAGGACCTGCAAAGACAAAATGTGAAAGCCCTGTGCTCAGTTTGCAGAATGCATGAATCTGCTGACATGACGCCTTCGACAGTCAGATGCCTCTATGCAGACATCAATGCATGGCATATGCGTGGCAGTGGGCGAGCAGTCTCACCCTTTGCATGAATTTTGAAGGAAGGGGTTTACCGCAAAGACACAGCGCATGATGGCAGAATCAGAGCGGCTTGACAGTAAGCAGAGGTGGTTCGGGGTGCATGTTGACAGAGCATCCCGGATTCGGGCGGTCTTTCTTCTGCCGAAGCAGTCCTTGAGTTCTACGACATGTGTTCCTGTTGATATCACTTTCAGAGTCTTCCACGCAAGGCTTCATTGCATCGAGCGGACTCGTGTCAAACACAGAATTGGCTTTTTCTAGATTTCTAGACCGTCGAAAGCTTTACAGGTTGTCTGAAAACTGAAGGCTTCAAAAGCTTCCCGGTTCACGCATGCTTTGGGCTTCATGCTCGTAGCCAAAGCTCGCTGTACGCATCATTCCTCCTTGGAGATCATGCTCCTTTACTGTCTTCGGCGAGTGTTAACCCGTCGTAGTGCCACTGCTGATCCACAATCATGCAGTCGAAGTTGCCCTGCTCGGTAGCATGCACTATCCCGGCATTGCACAAATCATCTTGATGACCGCAGCTTCCTTTGATGATTGTCTGTCTTCCTATGTGTTGATGGGTTTTTCATCTGGAACACGTCAAGCAGTCTGGGTAGCGTAGCGGTAGACCTGTTCTTCATTGAGACGGATGCCTCGTGCGTCATGCTCCGTGCCTGAGCTCACTGTGCACACAAACCGGTTGCCTCAGCGCCTGTTCTCGGGCCAAAGACAGGAGGTATCGGTTGAATACGGCGTCCAACCGCGTAAGAGTTTGGATGAGAGATGACTGCAGACTGCGCCGGGGCCTGCTCCCATTCTTGCACGACACCAAGGTTCCAGCTGAACCTGACGCATCCCATACGTGCACGCAGCATTGCAGGTCTTGTTTCTGAGTGGAAGGTTAGGACTTTTGTGGATTTTGGAAGAAGTCCTGTCACTGTCATGCAGGTTTCATCCTCTTCTGTTGGAGGATGCCGATGCATTCCTCTGTGAGGTGCAGCCAGGTAGTGCAGAAAAGACTTTGCTCGATGCGAAATGTGACAGGAGAGTGGGGCCTTACATGTTTGCGAGAATGTACCTTGCTCGTGCTGCGTGCCTTGGCAAGACTCGATTGTGTCTGCGCAGACCCCCCGGCGAATTCTTAGGCCAAAGCTTCCCACACTTCGAGGGTCTCAGCGTGAAGCAGCCTTACAGTGGGCTGGCCTGACCGCAGCAACTTAGGTGGCTTCTTCCGAAGGCTTCTTGGTTTGTCCGGTGAGCGGCCGTTGCTTCCCCAAGAACAGCACAGTCAACGAAGAGGCTCAGAAGGAATGCTCGTTTGACATCCATTATCAGTTCTCTCACCCGACTTTTCTGTGCAGATGATGGATGCTCCTGTTTCGTATGATTGGGTTTGGATCTTAGACAGTCGTGACTGTGTAACATTGCGTTTGAAAGTTGCTTCTGCCATGAGTCGCGATTGCTAGGATCCTGATCTCAGTGCTGCACAACAAGTTGGCCGGTGGTTCGAACAAGGACAGTGAGCGTCAGAAAGTGCAAGCAAGGAATTCATGTCCTGGAGGTTACTTCATGAGCGAAGAGCAGGCGCTTAAGGTTTTTGATGGCTCCGGGGCAGGCCAGGGCCAGAGCTCTGCAGCGGTGGGAGCTTCTCTCACGCGCGGAACGCTCTTCACGCTCTGCTCTTTCGAGTGCAAGCAAGGCCGGCGCCCCGCCGTGAGAAGAACTCGAAACGACCTTTTTCTGCGCACCTCACACTCTGCAAGATCTGCAAGTGCATTTTAGCACTTCGAGGTCGTCTCCGAACCACAACATCCGGTTTTCGTAAGGCCATAATATATAGTCTACGGAGGTGTGTAGGAGTGTGGGTGTGCAGGCTTAGCTTTCTTGACAAGCGAGCATGCCAGCACGACCTGGTCAATTGCGCGCCTGATTCAGTGAAGATAGAATGGCCAAAGCATGTGTGTAATGGTGTAGATCAGTGGTGAGACGAAATGCCAAGAGAAGTTGCGTCTGTTCCATCCGACTGAGCTGCTTCACGAGACATGCAGCAGAAATTTCAGTTCCGCCTCAGTCGCGCCCATGCCGAAAAAGGATGGAGCGAAATTTCGACTTCTTCTTCTGTAAGCTCAAAGTCGCCAACCTGCACTGCCTTATTTCTCAGAGCGGCCGGCATAGTTGTGATTTCCGTAGACGGCAGGTTGCGTCTGCGCAAGATAATTGGCAGCCTCCTTTACTGAAGTGGAAGTAGAACATAGCATCTGAAGCAAGGCTCACACACCCGGACCAGTGTTTGCATATTCTGGGTTGCGTGGCAAACCGTCGCACCAATGGGGCTGACGTACTCCTTGCTGCCTCTCTCCACAGGCTCCTGCGTTGCGGGTTGAGAAGGTCCGGTTAGAGCTGCTTCGAGCAGGCTTGGGAAGGCTGAGCCAGGCTGGTCCCGTCGTGCTGTGAAGTTAAGTTGAAGAGGCGTCCATGTCATGCAATGGTGAGCACTTGTGCACCTCTGTTTGCAGCTTTGCCAGCCGCCTAAGACTGCTTCGTTGCAGACAGTCCACAACGCCAAGTAACTACGGCTAAAGGATTGCGCCGTTCCGACGAACGTGTTATTGGTGGTGCCCGCCAGCACCCGGAGAACTGTTGATCCTGCTATCACGGCTTTGGCCCGGTGCGATAGCACTCGTCTATCAGAGGAAGGCAAAAACGATAGGCAGAGGCTACAATCGTGTACGATATCACGAGCAAGGTGCACGACTTGGCATCCCGAATCTTTCCCTCCTCAGCACGCCGCGTCGTTGCAAGACAAGTGCCTCGTCCCCCGTGCTGAAGCATGCTTGGAACCAGGGTGTACGCAGCGTAACTAGCCCTATTAACACCAACACTAACACTAAGACTAAGACGAAGACTTACTCTAACACTAACACTAACTAGCACTAACACCAACACCAACACTAACACTACCACTAGCACTCTAGCACTAGCACTAGCACATAGCACTAACACTAACACTGACGCTGACGCTGACACTGACACTGACACTGACTCAGACTCAGACTCAGACTCAGACAGACGCACAGACACACAGGCACAAAGACACACAAACACACAGACACACGGACACACAGAAACAAGCGCTATGCTAACGACGTGTTAGCCAAAATTTCTACTAAGGTGCGGTGGCTCCTTTTTGGTCGTAGAGCGGAATGAGAACTTCTGCGCCCGCCCGGAACACCCACCTCTCATAAGGCGCCGGCACTCCTACCAAATGGCAGGATCTAAAAGCCGCTCAGGAGCCTCGTGGCAGGCGAAGTCGACGTCGGTCGCCGCCTGGCCAAGGATCATCACGACCTCGTCGACGGGAGCCCGATACCACCCCTCGCGCGAGTCGTCGCCCCGAGAGATGGCGTCCGAGACGTTCGCTTCAGAAGGATTTCGGGAGACTTCCTGGAACCACGCCCGGTCGGCGGGGTCCGGGCCGTAGCCCTTGATGAGGGCGAACTGGCCAGCAACGTTGTGGATAAAGGCGGCGGGGTTGTCAAAATTAGGGTCCCTTTTTGGGCACCCTAAATATTAGGTGCCGTATAAAAATAAGGACCCAATAAAGGACCATAATTTTGACAACCACCCATATGAACGCCCTCCTCGATCCGAACGGCTCCAGGTGCTCGGGCCGGACCACGCCTACCTTAAGTCGCCCTCCAAGAAGAAGGCGTCCGCGTAGAGGACCGGGAGGGGCGCCAGCACTATCCCTGGCGCCCGCGACCAGACGGCGCAAGGCCATCAGCACCGAGCGAAGCCCCACGGAGAGGCCGTTGTCCGCCGTGTCGGCCGCCCGCGAGTAACGTGGCTTGATGGCGGCGCGGCCGGCGCAACAGAAGACGGACTGGGAGAAGAAACAAGTCAGTCGCACCGCAAGCTTCGACACCACATCGGGCCGAAGTGAATCCGTGGCGAGCTCGTCGATATGGCGAAGGATCTTGGCGGTCCGGTTCCACGCCCTCGGGGCCTGGGCCTTGGACGGCTTGGTCTGCAGCCCCAGCAGCGCCGGCGCCGTTGAAGTCTTCCGCGAAGTGGCCGAAGAGCAATGCCCGGAGCACCATCTGGACCGCGTCTGCCGCCCGATTACAGTTCCAGACGCTGGTGCCGCGCCGAAGCACATCGCGAAATGAAACCAGAGCATGGTGCCGCCCGAGGCGGGCAGGGACGTGCCACAGTGGCCGGGGTGCTTCACCGCCCACTGGCGGTAAGCATTTTGAAAGTCGTGGCCGAACGACCGGATCCCAGCCGTCCGCCTGGCGCACGCAGGCAGGCAAGCAGGCAAGCAGGCAGGCAGGCAGGCAGGCCAGGCCGGCAGGCAGGCAGCCAGGCACGCATGCACGCAATGAACGCACGCATACAATCAACAGCGCGACGGAAAGTAGCTTCTCTGAGTTGTCATTTGCCGTTTATGACTTTGCAAGCTTTCATAGAGTGGCATAGAGGTCCGACAGGAAACGCTCAGTGTTTGCAGAAGGCGCAGGATTTTCACGGCATTCGGCCGGTGCTCAGCGGACAGTACGTGCTCCTCAGCTGCATGGCTTCATCTGTGTGCCGCAGGAAAGCTTGACTGAAGTCCAAATCCCCACTGAAGGCCGGCAGCAGGATGCTCGCACCCCGATTCGACGTCCAGGCCATCGCGAGGTCCGCCGTTGACAGGCACTCAGGCAGCCGGGTCGGCAGTTCTGGTCGGATGCCAGCCCGAAACTTGGCCTGCTGGCTCCAGTGCCGCCCAAATACTGGTCGCAAGTGACATTTCGAGATCGCCAAGGTGCAAGTTCGCAAGGCGGCGTTTGAAGCGGGCGGCGGGTCGTTCGCTCGCATGCAGATGCAAAGCGGGAGGGGATTCGGCCATCGCTGCTCAGGTGTACGTGCGCTTAAAGCTCAGTCAGCGTCGAGGCTGCTGAATCTCGCGGCTTTCTGCTGGTATTTGCGCAAGAACGGAGCAGGCCATCGGCATCGACCGCTGCTGTCCAAGAGGCACAAGGCTCGGTCTGTAGGAGCCGTGGAATCCCACATCCTCAATAGGGTTGCAATTTTTGGTGGGCGAGCTGCGTTGTTGCATAGCTATGCTCGCAGACTTTGACAGCGGTGATGTGCTGCCTGGATCTGAGCTCGAAGCAATGATGAGTGAACTCCGCACACTGGAGGCTGGGGGAAGCAAATGCAGGACAGACCTTTCAAATTGCTTGATGCCAGGCTTCCCGAGGATCCGAGAGCTCCGACGACTCTGAGGAGGGAAACCGGGGAACCCTTGCTTGTCCTGGTCCTGGTGGTGCTGGGTGTTGGTGAGTGATGGTGATGTCGTGGCAAGGTAGTGTCAGAGGCAATACTGTCAATGTGGGAGTACATACCCATCTCTCTTTGCCATGACCTTTCATCCCTTTGGCACAGAGCTTTTCTCTTAAGGAATCGGCACAGAATTGGGCAGATGATAGCAGCAAGAGATGCTACGTGCCAGCGGTACTGAGGCAAGTGCTAGTCAGGAACATCCATTGTAGCACTGCCTCCCAGCCCTTGGTGTATATCTTGGATGTGAGCTCAATCGCGTTTTCACACTTCCTCGTTGGACGGATCTCCTACTTTTGTGCTCTGACTGTAGACGGTGTCATCTGCTGCTGTCTTTTCACGTGATTACTTTATGTTCTCTTTGGCATGGCAGGTTCCTTGTCCTGCAAGGAGTTCTGATGCATTCGGGGACGAAAGATGAGGAATAAATCTCACCAGAACGGGCAAGGTCTGTTCAATCTCCGAAATAAGGCCTGCATCCTACGGGACGTGGCACAGCACATCTGCAAAAGTATTGCGCCTGCAAAAGATCTACTTTGTATGTGCCGATGTCTCCTATGCAGCTTCTTTTGAGCCAATTTATGCGTCACCGCTGCATGTGGTGGCCTCAATGCCAGTCTTTGCCAAGGTTACCTCTAGCAGTGAGCTTGCCACTCGTCACGAAACTGAATCTGCAATGATGCTACCTGATTTGCTTCTACCCAGTTTGCATGAACCTACCCACCGGATTATGTTATGCGAAAATACAGAATACGAACATACACACTGTTCTAGCCTTGTCTATGTCGTCGTGGTAATACACCATGTTACAAATATTTGCGCGATAACACATTATGCTGCATATTCTGATCCAGTTATATAGCTTTGTTCAGTATACTGTTTAACTAATCGCACTGTGTTGACATACTAAGGCACTTGAGCACAAATACCATGTTACTTGCTGTATTTGTCAGGTTTGATCATATATCAGAGCTATTCCGGCATGATAATACATTTTGTTGCATCACGCTGTATTTTGCTGGGTATTTTTGTGCGTATCATCGTATCGTGCAACACTACCCTATATCGAGACAGACTGAGAACTTACATTCAGCGGCATTCCATCCTATCCGGCTGCGTTCTACAACATTCTGCTTCTATTCTGCTCGATTCGATTCTATGCTGTGCTATTCTGTGCTATTCTGTCCTGGTCTGTTCTGGTATGCTTTACACTGAAAAGTACGTTTTGGCATTTGGCAGGATTACTTGATTTCATCCTGTTTTGGAACATCTGCGTTATACTGTTATACTGTACCACGTTATACTTATACCAAAGTATAATATGATATATGTCATTATTCTTTTGCGCATGGCTTTTTCACAACAATGTTTTGATTTTGCAATGAATCGTGTTCTGGGTTTTAGTTCACATCTTATAATTATGAGTTCTATCAAACACGAAATTTCAGAATATAGTTTCACATGGATACACTCATGTCTGATCTTTAGCCGGGTTCGTGGGGGATGCACTGGGAGGGCGGGAGCATATGGACAAGGCAGGTACATGCATATATACACTCTTGCATGCGTACATACATACTTTGACATACGTGCCAGATGAACGCAGCAGGAGATGAATGCCTTGCAAGCCTCGTCCTCGTCATGTGTTCAATATGTATGTACATATGGAGCAAGGCATATAAGCAAGTACGTACCGCAAGCAATTCACTTCGCATGTATGCATGATTATGCATGTATGTAGAAGGCTCACAGCGACTTCGTGTGGAACTGCTGTAGTGTCCCCTGGTGTGGCTTCGTTCGGGGCGTTGCGGTGTGCTGGGGTGCTTCAGGGCTGGGCAAGGTGCCCCGTTGCTGCAATGGATCTCATGGATACCACAGCTAGAAAACCTGCCTCCGTTGCTTGGACAACTCCGGCAACTACTACAGCACGAGCCAGCAGAACAAGGTGCACGGAGTTTACCTGTGTACGAAAACGGGTGGAGGCCTCAGACGGAGACGCTACGTACCGCTGTTCCGTGGTGTCGAAGTGTGGATTCTTTGCTTGGCGATTCAGGGCAGCAGGGCAATTCCCGACACATCAGGTGCGCCTTGCCCGTGTGCAGGCATGACCTCAAGCGGAGCCAGTTATGCTGCCTCTTTGCCTTGCAGACTGCCCGGTGCCAGTTCACATCTGTGCAGCCAGCTATTCAGCTATGCCATATTTTGCTCGATACCCTGGATTGGCACGATTCCGCGTTCCTGCTTCCGTCGCAGCCTTGCAGGACTTCCATGACTGAATGTTCACTTGACTCTGGTCGCCCAGGATCATCTATTTGGAGACCATGGACCAGGACCCCAGGCAGCGTGCACCGTCCGGCCTCCCTTGGCGGGGAGACGCTACTGACAGCACGCCTTATCATTAAATGGAACATAATGGAACTGCCTCTGGTGTGCCCGAACTTTTCTTGCCCAGCAGCAGACTTGCATGCATGACTGCGCACTTCCACGTGTGATTCGCAGCAGGGATAGCTTTGGCACTCCTGACCGCCTCAGTATCAGTGTCATGCTCAGCAGTTGGCCTGTAGTGTGTGCCCACATCAGGGAATGCTGGCTGCTTGCCTCAGGTGTTTCAGGTCGACTGTGGCCCGCTTCGTGCTCTTCCCAGTTCGTCCCACAGGACTATTCATCTCCTCCCTTCCTTGGCACAGGCTGGAGGAGTCCTCGCCTACCGCTCTTGGCTCCGTCTGACTCACGCTCTTCGTGAGTTGCCACCAAGGTTCGAGGAGTCTTCGCCTGGTGTGCCGAGCTTGGACCATACCTGCTCCTGTCCCACCAGCACCTCCTTGTGTGGCCTGGCTGGAGGTGTCCTCGCCGACTGCTCGGTCCCTCCTCCGCCTGCGAAATAAAGTCAGCTACAGAATTTCCGGTCCCAGGTTCGTCCCTGCTGCCCGACACACTGGGCTTGGGATTCGCGTTGCTAGGCTCTCAGTGTTTGCCTTTGTTGCTTGCTCCCCTGCACATGAGCCTGCTCACTTGTGGCCTTTCTATCGCAGTCAGCCACCTTCCTCTCAAGGCGGCCTCACCTGGCAGCCGTCCCGCAAAGCTGGCATCATGTCCGCAAACACAAAGCTGGTGCATCAAAGGCGGCCCCCTCGCGGCCAACAGCTGGCTATGAGGAGGACACCTTCTCCGACATCTTCACCTCCTCCAGTGATGAGGTGCCGTCCGGGTCTGGTGCTGGGACGCCTGCCAAGCTGGACCTCGGCCGCCTGTTCCCGTCAATCGACTACTGGGCGTGTCACGTGGACCGCCGCCCCCGACAACTGCCGCTGAGCAGCGATAAACAATTGGCCAAGTTTTGACAAGAAGCAAGGATTGTTGTCACAGGTGACCCGCCTTGAGCAGGCAATGAGTGAGTATGATGCGATTGCTTCCCAGGCATTGTTTGATGAGTTGCGCCTCACGGCGCTCGTGAGGTGCCTCACTGGTCAGCTGGCAAAGCATGTCCAATTGATGATCGAAGACGATTTGGACTTATGATACCTTGAGACCCCTTGTTGTGTGCGGTATGACGCCGCTTCCTCAAAGTGGAGTTCATCCATTGCTGCCACCTATGGTCTTGCTGAGAAGGGAGGTGGCAAAGGTAAGGATACTCCCGCATATAACCCAGCAGCAAACAAGATTCGTCACAATTGCCAGAAGAAAAGTCATTTCGCCCGTGATTGTCGTGCTCCCAAGAAGGTGCAGCAGGTTGGCGAGGACACCGCTGCAAATGCCGATCCCAATGCGAGCTCCAGCGATGCTCAGCCCAAGGCAAACCCAAAGGCGAAGGCAGGTGGAAAGGCACAGCTTCGCCGAATCGATTTTGATCTTGATGTCTTCAGTGCGTCAGGAGAGCAGAGCAGCATCCGTGTGATTGCGTTTTCGAATTGCAGTGGCTGCGCGAGTGTATGTGACTTCGAGGTTAGTGCGAGAGTATGTGCTTTGCATACAGCATCAGGTGATGAGATTCCCGTGCCAGGTGAAATTCAAGCAGCATCAGGTGAGTGTCCCTTGCCATGTGAAATGCAGACAGAATCAGGTGAGTGTCCCGTGCCATGTGAAATGCAGACAGCATCAGGTGAGTGTCCCGTGGTGGCAGATGCACAGACTGCAGTTGGTCAAATCAGTCGCCACACGTCGGTGCTGAGTGTCCGTCCATTCGTGTTGTGGCGACCATTGACAATCCAAGTGACGTCATAGAAGTTATCCTTGACTCGGGTGCAGATGCGTCGTGTTTGCCGTTGTGGATGCGGGACACAGGTGTGCCTTCTGCTGCCAACCTAGGCAATTTCCAGGATGCCCAGGGCCACCGTCTTGCCGCTGATTGCTTTGGGAAGGCAGGTTTCAGCGTAATGCACATCCGTGAGCAGATGTTTCTTGTGAATGAGCCGGCTGGGGTGCGGGCAGTCCGTTGTTCGATGAGGATGCTGAGCCAAGAACAGGCATCAGCCACTGCGAGCAAACCTTCTACACCATAAGTGACGGCATCAGCTACAGCCAGCGAACCTTCTCCACCACCACAGGCGACCTCCACAGCTACTGCAAGTGAACTTTCTCCACAGCTTTGCAGATCAAAGCGTAACACATCCTTGAGCTTAGTTTCTCCAGTGTACTTTTGACCAGTTGCAATCAAATGTGTTTGCTTGCTTATCGAGGCTTTGGAACCAGGTTTGTTGATTTCACCTTAGCGCTGCTGGGCGAAGGCTGCCATCTTCGCAGTACGCTGTACAAGCAGATGATGAGACATGGACCATCCTTGAATGGTGTGAGAACATCGAGCCCATTGAGGACTTGAATGCGCCGTTGCCCAGTGACGGACCGTGTGAGATCATTGTGATTGCCAGCCGTAAGGGCATTGGTGCCAGAGACATTGGCTTTGAGCTGGTTGATGATGATTTAGCCCTTGGCCTTCCAGCGCCTCCTGA